CAGGTGGGTTCTTTACCATTAGCACCACCCAGGAAGCACTTATCATAATCCAATGATGACTTGTTTAATATGTTTACCTTTTTAAGTGACTGTCCTCTCCCACTGGATGTTCATCCATGTGGGCAGGGACTTGGTCTGCCTACTTTACTCCCATGCCCTAGGTCTTAGAATCAACTCTAGCTCACAGTAAGCGCTCAATAAAACATTTGTTAAATCAATGAACACGGGTTAGACAGTTGGATGTGCTGAAATAAACTGGTGAAAGATCCTGGTGAAGATACAAATTTGGGAATTATTATAAAAATAAATCTTAATAAGTAATAACTAGAAGAGAACTTCCTTAACCTGCTAAAAGAGTCCACAAAAAAATCTACAACCTGAAAAAAAAATAATGAACTATGCAACTGTGATGGAGATCCTAGCCAGCACAGTGAGGCAAAAAGAGAAATGATGCATCAAAAGGAAGAAATAGAAATGCCAATATTTGGACATATATTATTTATGTATAAAAACAAAATCACCTATACATAAATTGTTAATTTAGAGTTTAGTTAAGTTGTAGAATCAACATATAAAAATCAATTGCTTTTTTTGGATTTCCCTGGTGATCCAATGGTTAAGAATTCAGCTGCCAATGCAGGGGACACAGGGTTGATCCCTGGTCCAGGAAGATTCCACATGCTGTGGGGTAACTAAACCCATGTGCCACAACTTCTGAGCCTGTGTGCCATAGAGCCCACAGTCCACAACAAGAGAAGCCACCATGATGAGAAGCCAACATGCCATAACTAGAGAAAGTCCTGGGCAGCAAGGAAGACCCAGCTCAGCCAAAAATAAATAAATAAAAATTAAAAAATAATGCTGCACATCTGCTTTGTGGAGTAGCCACCCACTTTCTCCTAGGTAAATAGGCTCTGCGGCTTAGTGTCCCAGTTCCTGCTGTCCATGATAGCGAGGCCCATGAGGGGTTACCACCGAGGTTTCCACTAGCCTGCAAGCTAGAGCAAGGTAGCCATCCCTCTCATGACTACTACCAGCACCACCTTGGCTACACTTCCAGTAACAGCTCCTGCAGAAGCCTCACCCCACCACATGGTCTTCCCCCACCACCAGCGTCCCCCCAAGGCACACCCAGAACACTGGTGGGCTAGCTTCTTTTTCAGGAAGTCCACTCTCCCGTTTATGGCCACAGTGTTGGAGTCCCCAGAGCACTCAGAGTCTGCCCAGGCCTCCACCAGCATCATCACCTGTGACCTGGCTCTGTAAGCCATGGCGAAGCAGCAGCCTGGTGGCCAGCCTGGCAAAATGAACTGCAGGCCCCCATCCTGAGTGACCAGCACCAGCATGGTCACCTGTCACCTGGCTCTGTAAGCCATGGGGAAGCAGCAGCATGGTGGCCAGCCTGGCAAAACGAACTGCAGGCCCCCATCCTGAGTGACCAGCACCAGCATGGTCACCTGTCACCTGGCTCTGTAAGCCATGGGGAAGCAGCAGCATGGTGGCCAGCCTGGCAAAATGAACTGCAGGCCCCCATCCTGAGTGACCACCACCAGCTGCCAGGCTTCCTTCCAAGACACTAGGTTCATCGGAGCCCTCCCCATCCCCTCTCCTCCCTTCCCCTCCTCTCCCCAAGACTAAGCAGGTTGCAGCCAATGGAGGCAGTTCAGTTTTTAATATCAAAACAGCAAAACACCAAAAAGGAAGTTGAGAGACCTTACTCTTGACTATCCAAGTCACATGAGAGCCTTCTTCACATCCCATAACCCTATGCCTTGCACCAAGTGGATAATAAATTTCAAGCAGCCAACAAAAATAAAAAAAAACATAAGTTTTCCTTTAAAAGCTTGATTGCTTTTAAAAATAATTTTTATATACCAGGAAACTGCAGACTATCTCATTATTCTAAGCTTATTTCTGTATGAAAATAACCATTCAAAAAAAAAAAAAGAAAGAAAATAACCATTCTATCACCACAAAGCTCACTGTGAACACAGTGAATTAAAAAAGAAAACATCCTATAGACATATGAATGCATGTTGAAATACCAAAAGTAACAACAACAGCAAAAATCCTAAGACTATCCAGAGAAGAAAATGAAAAGGTCAGTGACAATAGAATAAGAATCAACAGCAACACTGGATGCTAAAAGACAATGGACCAATGCTTTCACATTTTTGAAGAAAATGTATTTGATTTTAGACAAAATTCTATACCCAGCTAAACTGGCACTTAATTATAGCTGTTTAAAATAACGGCATTTTTCTAACATTATTATAATGTTTGAAAATCTGCCTCATGTGTACTCATCAGAAGTTATGTGATAATATTCTCCAGCAAAAGAAGGGAGTAAACAAAAAAGAATTACACTCGATCCAGGATGCAGTAGATTCAGCACCCAAGGAGAGCAGCCATACAGAAGTCCTAAGAAGAATTCTATGTAGTAAGCACAGCCTAAAGCAACCAGCCCAGGTTAGAGGGTAATATAGAGACTTTTAGGAGGGAAATTTCTGAGAAAAAGGGCTTGGTAGGATAATTAGTGCAATAGCACTGGGATGGGAATGGGAAGGGAAGGATTATAATCAAGATACTGCCAGAAAACAATATAATTTGAAATGCTAGTCCTCCAAAAAAAAAAATCTGTATAAGGAATAAACATAATCTATTATAGTATTTGGCTCTCCTATTCAATCAACATTTGGGCTTCCCAGGTGGCACTAGTGGTAAAGAACACACCCGCCAATGCAGGACACATAAGAGAGACAAGTTCGACTCCTGGGTTGGGAAAATTCCCTGGAGAAGGAAATGGCAACCCATTCCAGTGTTTTTGCCTGGAGAATCCCATGGATAGAGGAGCCTGGTGGGCCATAGTCCATAGGGTCACAAAGCGTTGGACATGACTGAAGTGACTTAGCATGCATGCACATTCAACATTTAAGAAGTCACAATAGTGTAAAAATCATTTATTGATATATATATAAATATGATAAATGATTTAGGAGAGTAAAAGATGGAAAGTAGCATGTCAGTTAAATTCTTATCAGTTACAGTAAGAATAAATATATAATGTCTAAAATGGATAAATCAAAAAAAAGCATTATTTCATTTAGAATAAGTGAAGGTAACTACCAGAAGAAACTACTAAAAGAGTTAAAAAGGATTGCCTGTGGTAAGCAGGGTTTAGGAATGAGGAAGGAACTATGTGAGAAATATGTTTTTTGTTTAATACCCCTCCCCTCCATGTTTGCTTTTCACAATAATCCTTAATACACTGATTATGAACTGTATATTTGCTTTTTTGATAAAAGTAAAAATTTACTTAAAAAGAAAGATTTTCTTGGTCCAGAAAGGAGGGTTAGTGTCAGAAATGGATTTTTTTTTTCCTTTCTGGGTAAAGCTAAAGAATCTTTAGAGTCCCTGACAGGCTGGAATTTGTTCTAGGTGAGGGAAGAAACCATGCTGCAGCCAAGCAGAATTTCTGATAACCTGCCTGAAGAGATCTCAGAGAAAGGGAACAATTCTCCAAGACTACAGCTATTTGTGGTTTATCTTCTCACTCTAGACAGTCATATTCCAACCCTATTTAAAAATGTTTCCCCTTAAAGAGAGTCCTTCAAATGGGGTAAATGTTAGGCTTCACAAAATCTGGTTTAGCTTCTTGGAGTTGTCTCCCACAGGAGTCCAAACTTACTCCTTTTTATTAAATGGTTGATTTATGTTTTTATTCAGATTGTTTGTTCTTTTTAATTCTTGTTCTTGCGGGGAGAGTGAGCACAGTTTTTTCAGTAATTTTTGGAATCAATAAACTGTATTAGAACCTGCTCCTTCTCTGGCTACCTTACCTGGAGCTCAGAGACTGTAAGCCCTTGGAGGCGAGGAACAGCCGTCCAGTTCAGATATAATGTTAATGCGGCTTTAATAAATATTCGTTGAAGGAACAAATACAAATCTGAGTGCCATTAGGTATCATTTTTTCCTTCTGCTTTGTCTGTTTATTGAGACTCGGTGTTATGCAAGGCAGAGGGCTGTGGGAATAAGGGTGAGAGGAGGTAGAGTGATTTTTTTCCAAACTTTAGATCCCGCACTTCGACTTTACATAATAGATGCCTTTCTGGACATTTTGTACTGTGTATATCAGATTTTGCTAATCTCAACTCACTTTACACATAGAGATTATTAACGATGTTTAAAATTTTGTACTATGAGATGTAGAGCATTTTACTTGAAGAATCTTACTGTGTATTTTTCTGTAAAGTGAATTACCAGCATATATGAAGTCTATTTTGGGGGTGTGCTTAAAATGGGGCACACCAGTACTAAGTTCGGCTTTAACAATGACTAATTCGCACACCCTGTGTGCTGTTGGGCGCTCGCCAGCAACTAGGCACCTATCACTTCTCTTGGCCCCTTCTCTCCGTGCTGACCACCTGCTTCGACTCGGAGGCGGCGTCTTGACCCTCCGCGACCTCTCCGTCATGGCGTCCTCCGGGCGTCTGCCGCCGGGGCCAGGCACTTGGCGGGCGGCGACCTTCCCAAGATGGCGGCGGCAGAGGCCACTGCGCGTAGGGGGCGGGGTTCCGCCTCCGGAGGCGGAGCAGGAGGCAGAAGGGTCGGCCTAGCGGGCGGGCTGCTTCCGAAGTAGGCAGCCCCAGCGCGCCTGCGCGGAGCGGCCCTGCGCGCTGTGAGGCTGTGGCGGGGGAAGGCACCGGTGGGGCCGACGGGCGGGTAGAAGGAGGGAAGCGGGCGAGCGAAGTCCCAGTGCGCGCCGCGGCGGCACGGGTACCCTCCCCTTCCGGGCGTGAGGCGCTGTGAGGAAAGCTGAAGCGAGCGGACTCGCACCGGCAGCGAGGCGCCGCTACCGCCGCCACAGCCCAGCCTCCCTCGGCTTCGGCGCTCCCGTCGTGGGGGCCCGGGTTCCTCAGCACAACCAGCTCCAGCAGCTCCGGAGCCAGTGCCCAGTCCTTCGGAAGCCCCGGCGCCAGCCCGGGCCCTTGGCGGGGAGGATGACGGAGCTGCAGTCGGCACTGCTGCTGCGAAGACAGCTGGCAGGTGAGCGAGCGGGCGGCGGGGCGGCGGGCCGGGCCGCGATCGCGGCAAGCAGCTGCCCGCTTCTCCCCTCCTCCCGGGCGCTCCCGGGCTGGCGGGCCGGACGGTCGAGGGGAGCGGCAGGCTCCGGCGAGATCGGGCGCGGGCCTGCGAGAGTGGGGAGCCCGGGCGCCGGTCCGGGCCGGGCCCAATACTCCTTCCCCGGCTTTCCGAGGGTGTTGGGGGCGGGGACGCGCCCCGGACGGGGCCTGGCACCCCCGGGGAGGGAGGGGAGCTTATCCCCTCCCCCACTGTTCGGTGGGACGTTGCGGGGGAGGGGCTGTGGGTCCCCCGTCCCGGCGGACCCTCCCTGGAGGGGCGGGTCCGGGCTCAGGTGCGCCCGAGACCGCTGGACCCCCCGAGGCAGGTAGAGCATCTGGGCCCGGCCGGCTGTGCGTCGCGGGCTTGGCTGTCCGAGCCGCGGGCGGGCAGCCGGGGGCCGGGTGGGCGAGAGGAACTGGCTGCGGGGCGGATAGGTGAGGCGCGCCAAACTTCTGCCCGGGCAGCGCTGGGTCCGCGTAGTTGTGGCGGACAACAAAAGCGCCGGCCTCTGCGGCCTGGTCGCTGGCTCACGGGGTCTGAGAGCCCGGCGGGGAGCGGGACGCCGCCTCGCCTGCCTCCGCCTGGCACGGGCTCCGGCTGCGCCGCTCGGCTGGGGGAGGGAAGGAGCGGGCCGAGCAGAGAGCCGCTCGCTGGCCAGCTCGGGGCTTTGTGCTCCGAGCGATTCCGGCTCCTGTGCAGGCCTGCGGGGCCCCGGGGCTGCGGCCCGCGGGCTTTGGCTTGGGGCGGCGGCCGTGTCTGCCTCCCCTGAGGTGCCTGTGTTCCCCCTCCCCCATTGTCCCGGCCTCCGGCCGTTTGCGGCTTCCAGGTTGACTTTTTAGGGGGTTGGCTCCGAGTCTGCTAGGACTGTGTGAGCGGAGCATGCGCATTGGAGACGTACGTGTGCGGAGTGGAAGAGGGGGAGTTGGGTTGGTGGCTTCACAATGCCTCCCCACGTGCTGCCAGATTTAAAGAGAAATGAACCAGCAGTTACCTTCTGCCCAACGCCCGGCGGCTGTCCTCGATTCTGGCGGATATTCACCTCTCCGCTCTCCCGCCAGAGGCCCTGAGCCCTCGGCAGAACCTAGAGGCTGGAATGGACATCTGTTTTTGCAATAGGTGTACTAAGAGTTTGAGGTGTTGGTTAAATCACCTTTGTGACTTCTTAAGGAAAAGGTTGTCAGGGGCTGTTACAGGTTGTATAATTAGGTTTATTATTAGACCATGAGCAAGCAGGTTTGGACACATACTAAAGTTCTGGATGCTCAGGGGGAGTGATCTAGAGTGAATGGAGAAGTTCTGGTGATCTCTGTGTCCATAGCAAATAATGTATTGGACAAGCACTGAATGAATAACAACTTTATTGTATCTTGTAGTTGCAAACACAGCTTACTGTTCTGTGTATTTTTCTTTTTTTGGTTTGTTTCGGTGGAAGGAATTAAGATGTTCTTTTGTCTCCCTAAGAATTCCTTAATCAGAATAAATTTTAAATTATGTGGTGAACTGTTAATCAGTATTAAAGTATTAAAACTACTCAACTCTTACATAATGTGACAGGTGTATATATATATATTTAAAGGTGTAAAAGAAGTTAAGCAGTTGCTATGAAAGTAAAGTATGACTAATAACAGTGTTAACAGTAGCAGTATTTCAAAATTCTTTCCAAACTACTTGTGAACAGACTTTAAATTTTGATAGCCACTTGGTTCAGTTTTGCACTCTTAAAGATTAATCCCAAATATTGATAAAGACATTTTCCAAAACGCTTTCTTAATGGATGACTTTTTGTTAAGGCTTACCAAGATATGCTTTAAGTTTGGAGGACAGAATGATTTAGTTTGTAATCTTTCATGCCTTATTATAAAATTACTTGGCTGCAGATTACTTTTCTTCTCGATCAGAAAGAAGGACTGTTAATATTTTCTTAAGTTTTTGAAGGATATTAATTAACATACTCAGAATGTATAAAGTAGGCCAAGGCCAGTGCATTAAGAGAAGTGTGAAAATATCAAGTTTATTGGAAAGACTTGATAATTACATACTGAAATAAAGGCCCTATTTAGTCTTTAGTAGTACATTGAGCTTTTTGGTTCTTCAGATATCATTTGAAAACAGGAAAAATATTAAACTGTAAGCTTGAACTTTTGGAAGGCTTAATACTAAATGCTTTAAAAATCGTGTAATGTATTGAACTGAGTAGACACTCAAACCTAAGCCATTCTAGGTGGTAGAATTTTGGAAACTTACAACAGTGGCCAACAGTGGTTAGTTTACTAAGCCCCTAGTCTCCCCGTCCTTAAGGATTTTACTTCATTTCTTGAGGGGAGAATTTGTTGTATGGGTGTGTTTTGTTTTCTTGGTAATTGTAATGAAGAACCCGGTTATTTTGAGAGTGACGTGGAATGGTTCCTTGGGTTGCAGTTATTGTGGGGCAGACCTATATACTATGTAGTGGAATGTTCAGCAGTCTTCTTGGCTGCCACCCACCAGATGCCAGTAGTATACCTCCTCAGTTGTGACAACCCGGAGTGTCTCTATTGCCAGATGTCCCCCGAGGGCAAAGTCATCCGAGGTAGTAAAACCTCTGGTTTAAGGTGTTTTAGTTAAGACCAGAAAGGCCACTGTGAAGCAAGTAAGAAATAGATTCATGAAATCAGATAGATTGTATTTCTTTGTGGGTATTATTAGACCATGACTTACTCCTTTGTGAATTCAGCAGTCACAGTTCAGCTTTTGCAGTATATAATGATAAATACTAAGAAATCCCACAGCGAAAGAGATGATTTAAATTTTTCAAAAAGGTATTATAAGCACTGTTAAAAATACAAAGAGTATAGAAAAGGTATCGTCTTTCCACCCTTGACTCAGACTACTTTTTTTTTTTGAAGCAACCATGATTGATAGTTTCTTGTGTGTTTCAGTCCAGTCGCTCAGTCGAGTCCAACTCTGTGACCACATGGACTGCAGCACACCGTGGGGTCTTGTGTGTTTATATGGGCTAATGTTTACTGAGGACTAGCATGTACCTGGAATTGTGCTGAGAGCTTTATGTATATTATCTCATTTAATCCTCCTAATAAGGAAATTGAGGCTAAGAGAGTTTAAATTACTTATCTAAGGTCACACAGGTAGTAAGTGGTGCTGCTGGATTCATATTCAGGACCTTTGTATTAGAGGCTTTATTTTTAATTTGCAGTGTTGTCTTCCAGGGAGCAGCAATTTAATATAACTGTAAAATATGGTTTTATAAATTAAAATATTCAAGGTTAATTTATCCAGTAACTACCAAAATGTTTGGGGGAATATTCCCATCTTAATAAAACTTTATGCACAAAATAATGCACCCTACAATCTAAGTGATATTCTTAAGGTAATCATAAAAGGAAGTTTTAGCCATTGTTAGTTTAGGAGCAGCATTCTGCTTATGTCATTGGTTGAAAGCAGCACTGGCTTTTTGGTGTTAGCAGTTAACCTGGAGAAAATGAATTGTACTAATTGGTCTTATTCCCTTCTCTAATTATACTAACTTTTACTTTACGACAAGCATTTATAAAGAATAAGAGAATAGAGAATTTTTTTTTTTTTAAGATCACTTGTGTTTTTTTAACATTGACAACATAGATTTTCAGTAGTTGCTTTCTCATAGGCACCTGTCATTCCAGAACTAGGAAGAAGAATCTCTATGCAGTAACAGTAAATAAATTGAACTCCTTTTATCATAGAAAGTTTGGTTGTATATTTTAAAGTAGTCTGGAACATTCCCATATCTATCTCCTTGGCTACCCATGTAAGTAAGTTGTGATGAATTATATGTGTTTCTCAGACTTAATGTGCAACAAAATCACATGGGAGTATGTTAAAAATACAGATTCCTGGCCTTACCTCCACAGAATCTTAGTCTACATGTCCAGATGGGGCCCAACAAAGCCCAGTCTTTAAAGCAGTTTTTTTTGTTGACTGTGGAACTGTGTTTTGAACCCCACACTTTAACAGTTGCCCTAAGCTCATCCCCCTGGAGGGCCTTCTGCAGGTAGTACCATTCCTAGTTTTTGTGCGGTGCTGTGTTTCATTACCCTGGTGTTCATAGGATATTGAAAGAATGCTCTTTAAAAGGAGGAATTAGATTTAATATTTCTTTTTTTTATTTAATATTTCTTACTGGCCTTTCTAGAATGTATTGGCACTGTGACATAAAATTTCACTAGTAATCTTGAACAAGAAAAAATAGAGTACTAATTATTGAAAGGGACCACCCTAGTGGTAGAAGAATCTAAGTTGATAAGCACAATATTAATATTCTTAATGGTTGTAAACGAACATATTTAGAAATGGAAGAAAAGTCTAAAAGTAAGCCTTTTATTGTATCAAATTACTATTTATTTTAATAGAGTTTGGGGAATTTTTAATTCCAGAAATTATTACACTGTTCCAGATATAATGCAGCTACTATATGCTGTCAGAAAAAAAGTATAAACCAAACATTGTGGTTGAAGAAGGGGTGTTGATGACTTATAATCCCTGTAGTGGAGGGGGAGCATCAAGGAATTAAGCATCTAATGTTATGTTACAGAATCTTATTTCAAAATATATACATATACATATTTTAAATCATTTTGTGTATACCTTACATACAGTGTTATGTGTCAATTCTATCTCAGTAAAGCTGGGGGGAAAATCTTTAATTCTTAACATTAAGGAGTAAATATTTTAAGTTATAATTTCTGTTACTCAGTGAATATTTTTGATATATAATGCAATTTAGTTTTTTATAAGTATTGGTAGTTTAAAATAAATGGTAGTTTAATTTTAAATTTAGAATGAAACATACTTTCTATATTTGTGTAACGCTTGATCTCACTTTCTCAAGTACTACTGAATATATTAAAATGTTGAGGTAGACATTTGTTTACCTATAATTTGTACAT